CTGGAGTACAATCACTATAAAAGCAAGAGTACTATTAATATAAGCCCATACTGCCCAGCCTGCAAACAAATGAGGCATGACTGGGCTGCGCTGCCTCCTTCGCCTGTAAGAAGAAAAAGAAAAAAAAAAAAAAAAAAAAAAAAAAAGAAAGGAAGAGAAAAGGGAGACGAAAAAACAAAAAAAAAAATAGATTTTTTTTTGGGGTTCAGGTTGAGCTGGAGCCCAACCCGAACATGCCTGGATTTTGAAAAAATTCAACTCAATTTAAGCCCAATTTGTAAATTTAAATGTCCAAATTTTAAATTTTTGGGCTGGATTTAGGTTGGACTGAGTTAGCCCGCCCAAGTTGTATCCCTAGCTGTGCTGTGCATAGAGCGTTTGAATGTTCAATATACGACAGCTTTTCTCCAACAAAGTCCTCAGCTTATGTGATGTGGGTGATTCATTCATGTTCAAAGAATCAAAGTCATTACCATTTTTTAAAATACACATTAAACACATAAGAGAATCTACAACATGTTAAAAAGATGACTTATTTTGTTTTTTTGGTGTTAAATATACACAATATGTAAAACTTTTTTTTATCGCTAATAGTATATAAAGATACATTACCACCTCACCAATATGTAAAATTATTGTGTATTTTGCACAAATTTTTTACACAGTCACACTAACATGACACCGTGGTTAGTTGTTATTGGCAGATATATTTTTATACAAAAGATATAAAACAATGACGGGAGTTAAAAATAATTAGTTAAATTTTTTTATATAAAAGGCGGATTCAGAAATTATTAATTGGGTTGACTAATATTTTTTTAGGTGAGCTAAGACTAACAATAATAATTCTTTTTTTAAGATGGACTTGAACCCACCAAAACATACACGTAGATCGCCCTTTTAATCTACTATGACTTGTCAAATTTACACAATAAAATATAAACAATCAGAGGAGATTCTCAAAGTAAGCTTAGTAAGCTTAATTTGGATAGAGACTATTTTCTATATATATGTAAGCAATGACCTATTAATCAAATAAATATATCCAATTAGTTGAGAAAACTAGAAAAGTCTTCTAAGATGGGAAATGAGAGCTAGCCAGCCATATTATCTTTTAAAAAAAATCAGTAAATTTAAAATTGTTCTTTATGTAATAAACGTGATTGAAAAATTATTTTTAAATTTGACAGTCCAATAACTCTAATTATTTTGTACACATATAGAAGGGGAACAAATTTTTTTTTGGCTGGGGCCATGGCAGCACCATGTGGAATGTTGAGTTGCCACTTGACAAATAGGGCCTGCGAACCAAGTTTTGTTGGCAATAAAACGTTGGGATTTATTCTACCTTGCTTGTACATGTTTTCTTCTATTGTTTACCAATTCCCCAAAAGAAAAAGAATATTCATGGTAATTAATATATTTTTTTTTCCAAAATTAGTTAGTACTGATGGATGATTAATATTTTTTATTTTATTTTATTTTTGGGTGAAGTAGCTTCGACATCCTTACCTCATACGGAATAAATATATATATATACACCCTTGACTAGTTGAAAGTGGGATGGGAAAAAATTGCAATAAAATAAAATGTGTGTGGTTGAGTAGAAGAACCAGCTTTGACATTGCTGCCTTGGTGGTTAAGCTTATGCTTTTACTATTTATCAAGTTAGATATTTTGATTTTTTATTTTTTCTACCGAAAAGTCAAGCAAAACATATATTATAAAATTAGAAAAATTTATGTATAAAGTGAGACTACCAAAAAAGTTTTCTAATAATAATAGCGACCAGCTCGTCTTGTTGACCATTAAATTGTGTGTATATGCTAGGATCTTCTCACTGTACAATACTTGAAGAGTTTTAATACAATTAAATTTGTTTTTAAAACATTAAATTTACTTATTTAATTAAAAATAAGTAGACCTAATGTTATTGACAAATTACAGCACTCGGAGCATGCCGATAGAGTCTTTTAACATATACATAAAATATCTTTCTAAATATCTTAAAAATCATGGTTCAAAGAATAAAAAATGTATTACGTCAATCGTCATCAATTATGTAACCATTATGATTACATTATACACCTAAATCATAGTAAAATTTAATCACGTGAAATGTGCAGAGCCATTCACTGATGGGATTGGAGATATTTGGTGAGGAATATTAATGGAGTGATCAAAATCGTAACATATGGCATTATGCACACACCGGTGGTATTTGACACACACAGTGATTATGTAGAGAGCGACACGACGCACAGCCAAACGCATCTTATGTTGAGAGCGACATGACGCACGCCTTACCCAAAAGTCAACGTCCACATTTTGACAGCAAAGTGGACTCCACTTCCTTTCAAACCATGGAGTCATGGACACGGCGCATTTTTGCTAAAAAAATAATAATATCGGGCGCACACTGCACCCAGCACACCACACTTATATATATATAAAATTAAATATATATAATAGTAAATCGCCTAAAAATGTTGTTAGACCTGACCCTTCTTGAAATAAACAATATGAATACTATGCTTCAAAATTTATATATTGCTCCATTTTATTTAGTTTTGTAGTAACAATTTATGTATTAGTTTTTGATCCAATGGTATAACATTTTCATTCTCAAAGATAAGACAAAGTTAGAAATTTTTTTAGGGGGTGCATTGTATATTATATTTTATATTTAGAGAATAATATGTATACAAATAAAATCAATATTTATTGGGTATATATATAAATATAGTGAGAAATAAGTGGTTATATATGTAGAGAAATATGTTTTTGGAATGAGTTATATATATATATATATATATATATATATATGTATGTATGCATATATATATATTCTTAAATTAATAAAATACATATGTAGAATATAAGAAAATAATTTAGGGAAACAAAAATAAGAAAACACATATGGAATATAAAGGAGGAAAAAATTTCAAGAGCACACTGTATACATATAAAATTAATGTTTTCGGGGTATATATATAAATATAGTGAAAAATAAGTGGTTATATAGGGAGGGAAATATGTTTTTGGGATGAGTTAAATATATTTATATTATTTCTTAAATTAATAAAATACATATGTAGAATATAAGGAAACAATTTAGGGAAACAAAAAAAAAGGGAACACGTATAGAATATAAAATATATCCAGCAGTTTGTTAAAATATCTTTTAGTGTTCTGTCACGTATAATGTGTAATTTTTATTTTTATTTTTTATTTTTATAATATTTAGGTCTTCACTAATGAAATCTACAATATATTCACCGCTGATATGGACTAATCAAATCACTGTCTCTGACCTACACGCTAACGTATCCCAATAAGAGGTTAACACATCTTTTAAATTTAAAAAAATATACAAAACATGGGTCATATCCATTTTTTAGGGTTAAACCCGACTGATCTATTCTCTTTGCTCCCATCTATATATCTTGATGCAGACAATCTTCCCTAGCAGGACCTCCATCACTTCGCTTCAAACTGGATTTCAATTTCGTCTTACCAAGGATTAATTTATTTTCTTGAAACAGGTACGTTAAAACATTATTTTTGCCCGTGTAAATTTGAGGTAGATTTTGAAAAGGGAGAAATATAAATGGTTAGTTCAATTTTTTTTACCGATAGTTTTCTATCTTAAGAAAATTAAAAATAATAGAAAAAGATAGGAAAAGCAATTTTCTATGAGTTATCTAGAAATAGAATTAAAAAAAGATACATTCAATATTAGGATTTGGAATGATTTGTGACCATAGTTAAGGGAAAAGAAAGATGTGGATGACAGATACACAGATGGGACCAAAGAGAGGAAAAAAAAAAATAGACATGTTGGTTTTAATTTTCAAAAAATAAGTATAATTCATGTTTTGTAATTTTTTAAATTTAAAATAGGTATCAACCTCTTATTGGGACAATTAATGTGCATGACAAAATTTGTCCTAATCGGACAGAATAAAAGTATTATCCATATATATACACACACACAACCTCTAGGGATGTTATAAGAGAAGAAAAAAATTATAAGAAAATTCATGAGGCACTTTACACATTTAAAAAAAAATTATAAATAGATTATGAGAAAATCTATATAAATTTAAGGGAAGGTAGAAAATTCAGGGCCTACGTAGTTCAAAGAAGATGAGAGGAGTCGATCCCAAATGTGAAAAAAAAGACGTTTTTACAATTCAAAATATTAAAAAATTAAAAATAAAACTGTAAATTTTAGTTTAGAAAACAACAAAAATGAAATTCATTTTCAATATTTTTCCTTTAATACATTGTTCATATGGGAATAACACTTTGCAATGACCTTTTAGAAATTTCATTCTTCATTATGTTATGATCGCATATTTAAGATGTTAGGCTGTATTTGATAAATTAATTTAGTTTTTAATTCTGAACGAATTAAACTAAGTGTATTTAAATTTGAATTAGGAAACACCAACTAAATCTTAAATCACACTATAATTCCTATAACTATTTAATGTCGAGTAAAATTAAAATTTACATTCATTTTATCTAATTGCTTTTTTAATTGCCTTGTCATTAAACTCTTATAAATTTACATTTTTTAATTGCTGTCATATTTTTATTTTTTAGTCCACCGATACAAGACTGTCAAATACAGTAGTATTTTACTACGTATTAATCTAGGTTTTTTTTTTTTTTTTTTTTTTTTAATAATATTAATCTAGAAATCAATAGACTTCCACATCCACGCATTTCAACCTCATAGGTTGGATGGAGGACGACTTGAAGAAACAAAGTGAGACCTACTTTTCTCGAGTGGTATGTGGCCCTCAGGAATAATGACCCACGCGCAAGAACACAAAAAAATCACGCGCCAATGTGAAACCGTCTCACGAACGTTCCGTTTTGAACGTGACAAATCAAAGCGTTGATTACACACGCCAATTCCAAGTCGACGCGGTTTATCCCTTATTGACGCATCACGTTCCCTCCTTATATTCCATCCCACCTCCCTCTTTCCATTCTCTCTCTTCTCTCTCTATATATATCTCGCCGGAGTGCTCTTTCTCCCGGCAGCTCACTAAAGTTCTTGTTTAGGGAATTTTCTTTTCTTCAACTCATACTTTTCTTATACATATAAGCACACGTATATATATAATTTATAGAGACGTCAGAATTTTCGTTTATAGGGTTTATTATTTCAGTTTGAAGGTGCAACAGATTTAGTATTCGGTGAATATTGATTGAAGTTGTGTTTCTTCAAAAGGTTTTTTTTGGGTCTTTGTTTTTGGATCTAGACGAAGAGTGATTTTAGGGTTTGTGATGTCTTCATACTGGTGCCACAGATGTAACCGATTCCTTAGGATCTCGAACCCAAACTCTGTTACTTGTCCAGATTGCAACGGAGGATTCGTGGAAGAGATTGAAAGCCCGACGATTTCTGGGTTTACGACGGCTCGGCGACGTCGATTTCCTCCGGCGGCGATGTATATGGTTGGAAATGAAAGAGTTTCAGAGCAGAATTCGAGCCCAAGACTCCGCCGTAACCGAAGGAACGGTGGAGATCGATCTCCTTTCAATCCGGTGATTGTGCTCCGCGGACCGTCTGACCGCGACGCCGCTGACGGAGGGGGCGGCGGCGGCGGCGGTGGAGGATTTGAGATGTATTACGATGACGGTGTGGGTTCGGGACTGAGGCCGTTGCCGGAAAGTATGTCGGAGTTTTTGTTGGGATCGGGTTTCGATCGGCTTTTGGATCAATTGGCGCTAATTGAAGTCAACGGAATTGGGCGTATCGATCATCCTCCGGCGTCGAAGGCCGCAATTGAATCGATGCCCACAATTGAGGTCGTTGAGAGCCATATAACAACTGAATCACACTGTGCTGTTTGCAAGGAGCCCTTCGATTTAGGCGCCGAAGCTCGCGAAATGCCTTGTAAGCATATATACCATTCCGATTGTATACTTCCTTGGCTTTCCCTCAGGAATTCTTGCCCTGTCTGCCGCCACGAATTGCCAACCGATGGCCAGAACTTAGCCGAGTCGAATAGAGGCCATACGGAGCAGACCCCGGTGGCAAACGAAGAAGAAGCTGTAGGTTTAACGATATGGCGACTACCTGGTGGTGGGTTTGCTGTTGGTAGGTTTTCAGGAGGAGGAAGAAGAGGCGGTGAGCGCGAGCTTCCGGGTGTTTATACGGAAATGGATGGTGGGTTTAACAATAATGGAGCCCCTAGGAGGATGTCATGGGCATCAGGAGGCAATCTTTCGAGAGAAAGAGGTGGATTGAGGCGGGTTTTCCGTAATTTGTTTGCTTGCTTTGGAGGAGATGGATCTTCTGCCTCTAGTTCGAATTCGGATCCTAGGGTAACTCGCAGAAGTAGTGGTCTATCATCAGTTTTTACTACTACCGCCTCAAGGAGGCGTGGGGCATTGGCTTTTGAAGTTAGAAATGAAAATCGGAGATGGTAGAAATGTATTATTTGATTTCCAGTTTGTGCTCGGACTTGCAATAGTTGAAAAAATCCAGTCTTTGGGAGGACATATTAGTGGAAACCAGGGTTTTGTTCTTGTTCACAGTAAATATACTATATAGCAAGAAACGAGAAGGAAAGGAAATGGAGAGTGTCTCCCATTTTGCAGTGTGTCAAAGACAATTGCCAGTTGTACAGAGTCAATAATTGAATTATTATTTGAGCAAAAGAAAAAGATGATGGAGAAGAGAGATGAACTCAAATGAACAAACTCTTGGGTTTGAGTTGGCTTCTGGTAAGTGAGCAGGTAGACAGCCTCATGTATTACATACAGTTCCTTTGAACCTAGGATTGCCTGGACTTTTCTCTTTTCCTTTTTATATATTTTGGTAATTTGTAGTTAGCTTTGATAAGTTGTATCTGTATTCAGTTATTTATTTTTTGATATGTTGTTTCTGTATTCAGTCATTTATTTTCAGAAAATTATAAGTTATATTCAACTTCGAGTTCTCTCCTGTCTCTCTATGGCTTATTATTTCGCTTGACATGTCAGGAATTTCCAACCGTTCAATACCTATATAAAATGTCATTAAACGTTATTGGTTTTCCAAAACATAAATTACCACCCATTCACTAAATAATTTAGAACTTTGAGTTGTGGTTATGATCACCTCAGTATGTACTAAATCTAGGGACTCGTTGAAACTTATTAACACGAGGCCTTACAAGCTGCCCGTCTTCAGCCAGGAAGAAAAAACTGTCTTCACAGGGTTATGGTATCTAAGAAGACGAGGGTTGTCCAGTTATAGAGTTCTGTATTTATATTTTCATGATCGGTTCATCATAATGCAATCTAGGTGATGAATTTTTTTTTTTTTTTTTTAGGTGTGGGAATTGGAAAAAGTAGTTGAATTATATTTGGGGGGAAGCTTTTTCCTATATTGGGTGGTGAAAGTTAGCTAATCCTGGATTGGGAGCAGCAAAGTTTGTGATTTGGAATGGTAGAATAGAATGGGCAGATCAACTGGGATTGATAAAGAAAGGGATTAAATACAAAAACCAGAGGATTGCTTAGCAGATATAATTATGAGGTTGTTTATTGAGGACAGAATGTAGTAGGTCTTGAAGAACAGTTTATTGCCCTTGCACTAGAAGAGCAAATAAGTCAACGAGGGATGGTAGTGCTGTGTTTGATGGTAGTGCTGAGTTTGATACAGAGCACTTAGAAGAGGATTTGACATAGGAATCTGAATTGTGTAGTAGCATATTGTCAGGGTTACTCTTCATTAGAAATAGACATCAATTTGCAGTTTTGTGGATAAGGTCTCCATCTGTGTGCTCTTTCTGGAACATGACATGATTATTTTATGATCAACCATGTTGTAGATTATTATTTTTGGTGACATGGTGGTGTCATTTACTCTTTAAATAATCCCTTGAGCTGAGCTGTTTTCCATGCTTAGATAACACGGCCAACTAATATCATCTTCAGCGCCTTTTTTTGCCGTATATATATGTAATCCTCTTCGGTTTGGCAAAAGATATGGCAAGTAAGAAAGCATGAACCTGAAAAAAGGCACATGCAGGGTGTACTACTGGCATTTGGTATGTCATTTCTTAGGTGCCAACCTCTTGGAATACTTTAAATTTGAATTTCAGGTAGAATATGGTAAATGAGGATTTTCAATGGGATTACAAGATCTCTGGCTTGCATTTGGTAAATATTGGATTTAGAAATTTTGTATTTTGATTGGGTTGCATAAAAAGCAACTTACAGACTTATAGAGTATTCATGATCCTTGGAGTTGAATACATTTGTTAAATGAAAACCGAGTTTGAAGTTCATGGATCAGCATCTTTTTTGGTATGTATGCATCTATATTAGGAGCGATTATCAAGGGGTGAAGCCCCCGGTTAATAGAAGTTGAGATTAGCCGTTCTCATCGAATCACCTAATTCAATTTGCTTGTCTGTTGAAAGCTGGAGTAGCGTCAAAATCTACTTGCTTGAAGCTTAATAGAACAACTGGCAATATATAATAAAACTCCCCTTTCAAGGCATCTTATTGTTTATACGTGTGTGAGCAAATGCACTATGTAATTAACTAATTGCTAAGATATTGTCTCTCCCTTCATTTCTGTGGAAAAGATTCTGCACTTTAGACAGTAAATCATGGATAAGCTGACAGTGAAGATGAAGCATGTGGCATCATATTCTCTTTTATGATTTACTAATTGGAGTACTAGGGTTTTTGGAATCTTTATCGTGTCACCTAGTATTACTTCCTTAAGTAATGGCATTTTTGTCTCAAATTCCCTGTTTTGGAATTTTGTTAGTATTGTCTCAAATTCCCTGTTTTGGAATTTTGTTAGTATTCTCCTTTCTGATATCTATCCGAAACTTTGACTATAAATTTGTTTTTGAGAATCTATTTTTAGTGTAATCTTTGGTCCGGTATTGATTAGAGGTGATTAGCAGAGAGCTGTAGGGCCTCGGATTTCAAGTATAATACTAATGTATTATTAGATGCTGTAGATCTAAAAATAGTAAAATCTTCACAAGCTTGAAAACACGATGTCATGTCTTTAGGCTTTGTTTGGATGGATGGAATTAGGAGAAAAAAAAAAAAAAAGAGAGAAAAGAAATGATTTGGATTTGGAATTGTGGGGAAGGATTTGTACAACTGTGGCATCTTTTAGTAGAAAATTTTAGAATATTAGAGAGTTTGTAAAAGTTGGTTGATTGGAGAAAACATCTTCTAAAACGAAGATTGCATTAGTAGAGTTTTGTATTGTTGTTAAATTTCTAGAATCATCACATGTCTGGCTCTATATATGTGGACCTCCAATATTAAGTGATTTGAATGAGTGACCAACACTATAATATGAAACAATTGTTTTAGTTGTAGTAAATATGTTATTTTTAATTGCTAAGAATTTGAGTGATTAATTATTCTTAGTATTGTTGAGAACGGTAATTTATTTTTTCTTATGGACAGTGTTTTATGTATTTCAATTATTATTATTTTTTTAAAAAAATTGACGAAAAAAAAAATTGATGTACTCTGTCGTTTATTTGGTTTTTAACTCCGGCAGTGGGTCTGATATAATTTTTACAAACTTACTTGATGTAACATGCCGTTGGAGATAAAACTTGATATAACAGACAACTTGATGTAACATACAGTTGGCGATAAAAAAAAATTTACACATTTGGCGGACCTAATTTTCTCAAGGGAAAATGAAAGAACTTCCTTAATACTATCCTTTCATCAAAGTGAGATTCTTGTCTATTTCCTATCGAAGAGAAAACGACAGTCATAGAGGATTCAGAATTGTGTAATCTACCCGTTGTTCTATCTCCCATTCAACACTATATAGCATGCAGCCAATAATGGAGACAGATATATATAACGTGTGCAGTGAGGGATCTTTATATTCTATTATAGGTAGCGGGTCTTTAATTTTACAATTGAAAAGTAAGAAATAGAAAAACAAATGATTATACTTACCAAAATTACCCTTGTGATTTTAAATACTAAAAATAAAATAAAATAAAATTGAGTTACTCCCAATAAAATAAAATTGTGTTACTTCCCTTACTCAATTGTGTTTCAAATTTCAGTATTTTTATATAACAAACAATCTTAATAAATTCGGTACTTAAAAATATAAAAGTAAAATATTATTAAACGAGTTTTCAAATTAATACATTCAGAATTTTAAATGCTAAAATTCAGTATTTAAGATTTTCTATGCATAATTTTCAATTTTATCAAATAGCACATATACAAATTACCAATCGATAAGAATATAATAAAAAGTTAAAATATACTGTCGCAACTTTTACGAGAAAGTGTTTCAAGGGAAGGCAAAAGGTCCCTAATCGAGCCGAGGATGACGAGTTGCTTAGGGACATGGAACACCAACAGAATCTTGTCTTTTGAACTGAGCTGGCTACAACTTGCTTGACTGGCGTGGTGCACTGGAGGCTCTTTCTAAGAATAACAATGATTAGCAAACCCTATTCTTGAGGGAGAGCATTCGAGACCGATCTGAAAGCCAAGACTGGGGTAAAGCAAGTGCTCCATGGAACGGCCAGGCTTCGAAGAGAGTTCGGGCATTCCGGTGGGAAACATTTTGAAGAAAATTAACAACTTGTAGAAAAGTTATTTTCTTCAAAAATTTTAGGTTTCTTCTAACCAAATTCTTAATTTTTTTTTTTTTTTTTTAATTTTCATTTTATTTTCCTTTCATGCTACTTTCATCTAACCAAACACACTGTTTATTTTATTTTATTTGCAACTCCAATTGATATGATTGGGTTATCATGCATAATTTGTTATATGCCATAAATATATTTGTGCACATATTATTGTTTATTGGGTTCATTTCACTGACACCTCTTTTGATTTGGCTAAATATTACATGAAAATAATTTTTAAAAATTACTATCATTTAGGTTCGATTTTACTTTTTCGTCATTGACACAGTTAAAAACGTTTGAAAAAATAATTTTACCATCATTTTTAAAATTCATTTTAATCTAAAATATCAACAAACATAAAAAGACAAAATCGCCCCATTAATTTCTCATCCTCATAATATATATATATATATAAAGCTAACATATAAATCGCCCCATTAATTTCCCCATTAAACGCAATCTTTTTATTGCTGAAATTTTCTCATAAATAAATTTTCTTTTAACAAGTTGACTCATATCTTGAGCAGATAACCCGTAAGCAAGGAAGGAGCCACTTTATACTTTATAGTCAGTGGGGAATTGCTCCCGAGTTTTAATTTTTTTTTTTACTATTATATATCACTAATTTTTTTTTTTAATTATATATCTATAGAATTTTCACTTTATCACCCTTAGCGGAGAGAGAGAGAGAAAAAAAAAAAAAAAAAAAAAAAAACTAAATTCACTTCTGCCCCATTCCCACAACTTTCTGAATCCTGAGTAAGATAAGTATGAAGATAAAAATAATGTTAAATTAGTAATTTTTTTTTCGAGTAATAATTTCATTCATTAAGAGAATTTAAATATAAAATATAATATGAAAATTTTTTTTTAACAAAAAAATAAAAAGAAACGAAAAATTGGAAATTGATAAATATAACCAAAGAGTCCATAGAGTATTAATTTTTCTTTAATAAACTGAAAACAAAAGCCAAACCTATTACCACAATACCCACAAAAAGGAGGAGGAGAAAAAGTAGTTATTTTGACAAATAAAAAAACAACTATCAAATGAAATTTAGAACTCCATTCCATCCAATACAATAAATTATAAAAAAGAACTAACACTTGTTAATTCGTGGCGAGGGATGTCAAATCATTTGAGAGGATTGACTTCAACTAATATTTGTTAAACAAGATTAATTATGTGAGAGAAAGAGATCTGAAGTGGATTAGGTATGTGACACTTAGTTAATAATTAAATTAAACATTTATTGATAATTTGATAGTATAGTATATATATATAGATATAATTAATTACCTTAAAGAAATGCTAACGGTCACTTTACAGTTTCATTCCCACGTCATTTTCATCCGATTCACGTTGCATTCCGTAGTTCGTATCAAACGTACCCGAATACCACTAGCATTTAGAATACGACGTCGTGAGAACGTATCGCTAAAATTTTATATTACTGACTCCGTGACGTCGTTGACAAGAGATTCAATAGCAGTAACCGAAGTGAATAGAATCCACGATTTCGGACGTAGAATTCAGGCGGAAAGCGTTGGCTTTTGGTTAGAAAGCCGGGAGCCAACGCGTCCGACTCATTTCTCTCTCTAAACTCGTCCTCCGCTCTCTCTCTCTCTCTAAATTCGATTCGAAAGGATCGAATTTGTACACATATGATTATGACGATATATTTGCTATTATCCTGAATTAACTTCAATCCATTGTGTCGATTCGATTATGTAAGTCTATCATTTCCTCTCTTTTCTGATTATATAATATCTCTGTATCTTTATAGGAGTAATTAATTACATTTTCTATTGTTGTGATTTTGAATTAGGGTTTTGCTTGATCGATTTTGACCAATAATAGAGCAGACTCGGTTTTGTATAGTGTTGATTTATTTGTTTGATCATCAACTGTTGTGGTGCCTTAATGAATTAATCAGGGAGACATTTTAATTGGGTTTGTGCTTCAAATGCTATTAAAAAACATAACGGAATTATTCAATTTCAATGGGATACTCAAATGAGCCTAAATGTTTTCTTTATGAATCATACTCCTTGGTCATTTTGTGGCTATCAATGTATCTTAAGAATATCTCTGTATCTTTATAGGAGTAATGAATTGCATTTTTGAAAGAAAGGTCCACTGGTTTTTCACTGATGCCAACTTTTAATCAGAATTGTATATATTATGAATGTAAAGACGTTGTCTTTTTCCACTCTCTTTATCCTTTTGTAATTGTTAAGAGAATTCTTCACTAGGACTGGCGGACACTTCAGAATGTGAGAACTATGTCTGACCATCTTCACTAGGACTGGCGGACACTTCAGAATGTGAGAACTATGTCTGACCATCACCGTGTGTGGTATGTGTATCATTTGCATGTTTGGCAGGCCTGGGACTGGCCGACATAGGAAGAGAGGAACACATTCCTTGTTCACAAGAATTTTCATTAGGAAACCTTAAATGTTTTTCAATTGTATGGATACATTAAAATGAGTGGGTAACAAGTCATGTTGTTTTAACTGGTTCTTCTTTGAATGACTTTTGAACGTAAAGGCCCCTTGTTTATTATTTTATTAGATAGTTTAGTTATGCTGATGAAGGTTTGGTGGCCAATTTAAATAGTGATGGGTTTTTGGATATACCAATGCACCAGTGGTGTAGATATCTTGGAGCTCCAGAGCAGGACTACTTTTGTTCTCAAACCCTTGAGGCAAGGTTTCCTCAGACTTTATGCTGGTGCATTTGCACGTGACAAGTGCATTCACGAAGAGGCAAGATAGTATGATGATTGAACATGCATATCTATGATTCTTTGTATCTGGTACAAAGGCTGGTAATGACATTAACAAGTGGTTTGTGATAGTGAGAACAGACTTAGTGGATTATAATTTAATTGATAGAGAATGGAGGTTAAATGTAATCGCTAACTACACTTGGAATTATAGCTTTTAGTCTGATTTAAAATGACCGTTCAGTCGATGAAGGAAAATTAATTTTCCTTTGTGAAAATTTGTAGAGGAAGGGAGTGGGGTGGGTTTCTCTTAGTAGGTGTCATGTTCCTCCTTTTTGCAATCTGGAGGATTCCACCCATTATGCCACCTGGCTACCAGAGTGTTCATGATCTATTACTTGCATCCTTATGTTTTCGGCATGCTTATGCGTGTGATTTCTGGGCTTATCACCTTCCTTATTTCAGGTGTATTTTCAGTTGTATTAGTTCTGTATCTCTTGTATATATATTTCTCACTTACACCCTTAAGCCTACAGTGGCTTATATAAAGGAAAACAAACTACCCTAATTATACAAGGTTACCTAATTACACAATGATCCTAACAACTATGGGTAATTACATAATGACCCAACATAAATATATATATACATAAATATTCTAACACTCCCCCTCAAGCTGGAGAATATATATCAAATAATCCCAGCTTGGAACAGATAGTCCTTAACCGGTTATGACCCAATGCTTTGGTAAACATATCAGCTAGTTGATCTTCAGACTTCACAGATGGAGTAGAAATGCTCCCACTTAATATTCTTTTCTGAATGAAGTGACAATCAATCTCAATATGTTTGGTCCTCTCATGAAACATAGGATTCGATGCAATGTGAACAGCTGCTTGATTATCACAGAACAATGGAGTAGGAGCTTCAACTGTTAACCCAAGTTCTTTTAGAAAATGTTGTATCCATGTCATCTCACTAGTGGTATGGGCCATTGCCCTGTACTCAGCTTCGACACTAGATCAAGCTACCACCGTTTGCTTTTTACTTTTCTATGTAACAAGATTTTCTCCTACAAATGTGCAGTAGCTTGTAGTAGATCTCCTATCTGAAGGAGAACCAGTCTAGTCAGCATCTGTAAAATCTTCCACCTTGAGATGGCCATTTGATTTATATAGTAACCCAAAACCTGGAACTTGCTTGAGATATCGGATAATCCGAAGAACAACAATCCAATGTGGCATTTTAGGACCTCCCATGAACTGACTTACAACACTAACTGCATATGAAATATCAGGTCGAGTAATAGTGAGATAAATTAATTTCCCAACAAGGCGACAAAATCTGCCCGGGTCATTAAATAGATCACCCTCATCAGACACAAGTTTTGTATTGGAATCCATAGGAGCATCAACTGGACGACCACCTAACATACCCGTGTCTTCTAGCAAGTCCAACACATATTTGCGTGAGATAAACTTATACCCTTCTTAGATCTAGCAACTTCAATACCTAAGAAGTACATAAGTTTACCCAGGTCTTTAGTGTGGAATCGATTTTGCAGAAACAATTTCAACTTAGCAATGCCTTCAGAATCATCACCTGTGATCACAATATCATCTACATATACCACAAGAAAAATGAAGCCAGCTTTAGTGCGCAGGTGAAATACTGAATGATTGGTCTGGCATCTGTTAAGGCCAAATTCTAATGCCGTCTCAGAGAATTTTCCAAACCAAGCTCGTGGAAATTGTTTCAATCCATACAGGGTCTTTTTAAGGCGATAAACAGTGTGATGATACTCCCCCTGAGCAACAAAACCAAGTCACCATGTAAGAAGGCATTTTTGACATCCAATTGAAACAACGGCCAGTTACAATTGGGAGCAATGGAAATAAGTATCCGAATAGAAGAATTCTTAGCAACAGGGGAAAAAGTCTCATCATAATCAACACCATAAGTCTGAGTGTACCCCTTTGCCACTAGACGAGTCTTCAACCGCTCAATAGACCCATGGTGAAGGTATTTAACTGTATAGACCCACTTACAACCAACCGTTTTGGAGCCCGGAGGTAAAGGAACAAGATCCCATGTTCGATTACGGTGAAGGGCATCCATTTCATCTACTATGGCCTGTCGCCAACCCGAATCAGAGAGAGCATCCTGCAAAGTCTTGGGAACAAAAGTAGCAGACACTCTGGATAAAAAACAAGATAAAGAGGATGAAATATGACGGTAGGAGACAAAGTTAGAAATGGGATGTGCAGTAACACACGACCGAATACCTTTACGGAGAGCAATAGGCAAATCATCAGTTAAAGGCGTCGGATCCAAAGATTCTGAAGGAGATGGAGGGAGCGAAGTAGGCGGTCGAGGTCGTCGAGTATAAACCTGCAATGGGATGACAGAGCGCGGAGGTGCGGAAGCAGGAAATGGAGAGGGAACCATTGGCATAGGTGGCTCAAAAGTAATATCGAGAGGAGTAGTAGAATCAGAAAAATAAGGGAGAGACTCAGAAAATGTGACATCAGCACTAGTGAAATAGCGTTGAAAATGAGGACTGTAACAACAATAGCCCTTCTGAGTGCGAGAATACCCAAGAAAAACACACTTAGTGGCACGAGGGTCGAGTTTATCAAGATCGGGTCCAAGGTTATGGACATAACACACATCCAAAGACACGCGGAGTAAGATTAAATGAAGCTGAGTCGGAAAATAGAACAGAATGAGGAGATTTACCGTTTAACACTGACGAGGGCATCCGATTAATAAGATGACATGCTGTAAGAACAGCATCACTCCAAAATTGTTTAGGAACATGCATATGAAATAAAAGGGCACGACAGACTTCTAGGAGATGACGATTTTTACGTTCAGCTACTCCGTTTTGTTACGGAGTATAAGTACAAGATGATTGATGAATGATGCCTTTAGCATGAAAATAAGTTTCAAAAGGATCCGAGAAATATTCTTTGGCATTGTCAGAACGTAAAACTTTTATGGAACACCCAAATTGAGTTTTTATTTCTTTGCGAAATATTTGGAAAATAGAGAATAACTCAGAACGATTATTCATTAAAAACAACGAAGTCATCCGACAATGATCATCCACAAAAGTCACAAAATAACGAAATCCATTAATAGAAATATGTTTTATTGGTCCCCATACATCTGAATGAACTAACTGAAAAGGACTAGCAACACGATTATTATGTCTCGGTTTGAAAGATACACGACAATGCTTACTAAGTTGACATGTTTCACAAGACATGGACTCAATACGACTAAAACCGGGGACTTGACGCTGCAAAACTAATAATGATGGGTGGCCGAGACGTCAGTGCCACTGGAAAGAAGATAAAGATGATTGAAGAGCCGTGGGAAATGGTGCAAGATCGAAGTAATACAAGCCACCTACTTCATGTCCCGTACTAATCCTCTTCTTCGTCTTGAGATCCTGAAAAAGACAACATGTGGGATAAAATGTAACGGAACAGTTAAGAGATTTAGTAATCTTACTAATGGACAACAAATTAAAAGGGAATTGAGGAACATATAACACAGAGGAGAGGGACATAGAGGAGGTAAGATGAATAATTCCCAAACCCAAAACTTTAGTTGATGATCCATTAGCAAGAGTAACACTTTGAGAGGAAGAAACAGACTGAAAATAAGATAAGAGATGAGAACTACCAGTCATGTGATCGGATTCTGTCGCTTGCCCAATCAGGTAGTGCTGAACTGGCAGCCATGGAGAAGATAACAAAAAAAAACGAAATTGGGAAAAAAATTGTAGAATCGGCAGTCGGGCCGGATCTGGGTAATTTGGCCGGACCTGGGTAATCGGGGTTACTAGTGATCTATTGGGTGTTTCTTGCAAGGACAACCGTGATCAGGCCTTAGCAATCCTTCAGGCCACGGCAGAGGGGAGAGAAGGGGAGATGATTCAATTTTCCAGAAGAAGAAGTAGGAAGATGAAAAACCTTACTCCGGGGAAAGGGGAAAGGGAGTTAAGGAATTTGTGTTGTGATGTGAATTATGACAGGTTGATTGGAGGGGTGAAGGAGAGGGGTAATGCTAAGGGTGGAGGGAGGGGTAAGGGGGGGATTATTTCCTCATGAAGTTGCGAATTTTATCGTGGAATGTCCGATGTCTAAATGACCCGGGCAAGCGAAGGGTGGTGAAGATGGCGGTGAGGAAATGGGGGGTGCATTTGGTGTGTCTTCAAGAAACTAAGGTTGATTCTATGTCTGAACGAGTGGTGAAAAGTTTGTGGGGTAACCGTTTTGTCGAGTGGGAGGCGCTGGATGCTGTACAGACTTCAGGAGGCGTTCTTATTATGTGGGATAGGAGATGGTTGGCCAAGGTGGATGTTTGTAGAGGAGGGAGTTTTTCTCTGTCTTGTGCGTTTGTGTTGGAGGAAGATGGCTTCTCTTGGGGTTTCTCTGGGGTGTATGGGTCGGTTGACGATGGTGCAAGGGATGGTTTGTGGGAGGAGTTGAGTGGGGTGAAGGGGAAGTGGTCTCTTCCTTGGCGTGTGGCAGGAGATTTTAATGTGGTTAGATCCCCGGCAGAAAGGTCTACAGATGGTCCGTGGACTCAGGCCATGATGCACTTTTCTGATTTTATTGATGGTCACCAGCTTATCGATTTTCCTCTTGAGGGAGTTTCTTTCACTTGGTCCAGTGGAAGGGAAGCTCCAACCTTTTCTCGCATTGATAGATTTTTGGTTTCTGGTGAATGGGAGGAGAAGTTCCCGGATGTTATTCAGGCTGCTTTGGCTAGGGTGACGTCGGACCACATTCCCTTAGTTCTGGATTGTGGAGGTTTGAGATCTCGCAGCACTCCTTTCAGATTCGAGAACATGTGGCTTCGTGCAGATAATTTCCAGGGTCTTGTGCATACTTGGTGGGAGGAGAATCTGGTGGTGGGTACGTCGAGCCATGTTCTTGCAGGAAAGCTTCGATTCCTGAAAAATAATGTCAAAACGTGGAATAAGGAGGTGTTCGGGAGTTTGGTGTGGAGGAAGAACAGGGCTTTGGCTGATATTGCTGAGATTGATAGGTTAGAAGGGGAGGGTGGTATTTCTGAATCTCAACGCAGTAGGAGAGCAGCTTGTCAGGCAGAATGTGTGGAGATTGCTCTTTTGGAGGAAATCTCGTGGCGTCAGAAATCTAGGGTATTGTGGCTCAAAGAAGGAGACCGTAATACGAAGTTTTTCCATAGAACTGCCAATGCTCATAGGAGTAGTAATCATATTGGGCGGATGTGTGTGGATGGGGCGGTTTTGACTTCGGAGGAGGAGGTGCGAAGTGGTATTGTCTCTTTTTACCGAAGGCTGTATTCAGAGCCTCTTCGTTGGAGACCACGTATTGATGGTCTTCACTTTGATTCTATTTCTGTCTTGGAAAGGGATGGGTTGGAAAGTCCCTTTTCGGAGGAGGAGGTGTTGAAGGCGCTGAAGAGTTGCAATGGTGATAAGTCCCCAGGTCCTGATGGTTTCACGATGAGATTTTTGTTGGAAAGTTGGGAGGTTGTTCGGTATGAGATTATGGTCACCTTTCATGAGTTTCATTCCATGGGGCGGTTTGAGAAATCGCTTAACGCATCTTTTATTGCCCTTATTCCTAAGAAGGGTGGTGCTTCTAATATTAAGGATTTTAGACCTATTAGTCTGATTGGGTGTATCTACAAGCTCATCGCAAAAGTCCTTGCCTTCACATTGAGGGTGGTTCTTGATGGAGTTATTTCTGAGTCTCAGAATGCTTTCATTGGGGGTAGACAGATCCTGGACTCCGTCCTTATTGCCAGTGAATGTGTGGATTCTAGACTTTGTAGTGGGACTCCGTGTGTTCTTTGCAAGCTGGATATCGAGAAAACCTATGACCATGTCTGCTGGAATTTCCTGTTCTATTTGTTGGAGAGGATGGGCTTTGGTGAGAAATTGAGAAAATGGATTATTTCATGTGTTTCCACTGTTAGGTTTTCAGTGTTGGTGAATGGGTCTCCTTCGGGATTCTTTGGTAGTTCTCGTGGGTTGAGGCAGGGTGACCCTCTTTCCCCTTTCCTTTTTATTATTGTTATGGAAGCTCTTAGTAGGTTGATGAGAAGGGCGGTGGATTTGGGTTTTATTAAGGGTTTCAAGATTGGCCCTGTCTCAGCTCAGCAGATGGAGATCTCTCATTTACTTTTTGCGGATGACACAATCGTTTTTTGTGAGGCAGAGGTGTCCCAGTTAAGGTATCTAAGATGTGTTTTGGTTTGCTTTCAGGCAGTTTCTGGCTTGAAAGTTAACGTGGGAAAGAGCGTAATCGTTCTTGTGGGGGAGGTTCAGGAGGTGGACACTCTGGCTGCTGTTTTAGGGTGTGGGACGCAAAGTTTTCCTATCTCGTATTTGGGTTTGCCGCTAGGGGACTCGGCCAGGAGGGTGGGAAGTTGGAACCCGGTGATTGAGCGGGTTGAGAGAAGATTAGCTGGATGGAAAAAGCAATATCTGTCAATGGGTGGTAAAGTTACGCTTGTGAAGAGTACTTTGTCAAGTCTCCCAACGTACTTTCTTTCGCTTTTTCGGATTCCAGTCTCTATTGTTGGAAGAATTGAGAGGCTTCAACGGAATTTCCTTTGGGGTGGTCGTGGAGAGGAGTTCAAGTATCATCTTGTCAAATGGGAGCAGGTTTGCAGGCCAATTCAGTTGGGAGGGCTTGGTATTAGAAGATTGGTCCCGTTCAATAGTACTCTTCTCGGCAAGTGGCTTTGGAGATTTGGAAGTGAAAGACACAGAGTATGGAGAAGGGTTATTTCGTGTCGTTTTGGGGAGGAGAGAGGAGGATGGTCAGTTAGACCAGTCAGGCTTGCTAGTGGAGTGGGGGTGTGAAGGGCCATTGGAAAGGGGTGGGATGCTTTTTCCAAACATATTAGATTCAGAGTTCGGTATGGAAGAAATATTCGATTTTGGGAGGATTCATGGTGCGAGGATAGGCCATTGGCTCTTTTGTTCCCCAGTCTCTTCAGGATTGCTGTTGACAAACATGCTATGGTTGCTGACTGCTATCACCTTGATAGCGGAAGGCTATTTTGGGATGTGCGCTTTCGGCGAGCCTTTCAGGATTGGGAGTTGGATGATGTCACTGGGTTTTTAGCTCTCCTTTACAGACAGGAGGTGGAGGGTTCTGGTGCAGATTCCTTGATTTGGGTGCCTTCTTCTCAGCGGATGTTCCAGGTTCAGTCCTTCTTTATGTGTCTATCTGGTTTTCATGGTACCACATTCCCATGGAAGACGGTGTGGATGTCTAAGGCGCCTCTTAGGGTAGCCTTTATTGTGTGGACTGCAGCTTGGAGTAAGATTTTGACTTTGGACAACTTGACGAAGCGAAGGCATATAATTGTGAATCGGTGTTGTCTTTGCAAGAGCAATGGGGAGTCAGTGGACCATCTTCTGCTGCATTGCCCTGTGACTCATGATTGTTGGAGTTTGATTTTTGGATTGTTTGGAATTCATTGGGTCATGCCTCGGACCTCTTGGGAGTTGTTGGATATTTGGACGGGCCAATGGGTGGGGGCTCAGGCGAGAGTCTTCTGGAGGGTGACCCCTTTTTGCATTTGGTGGAGCCTTTGGAAAGAGCGGAATTGTAGATCTTTTGATGGGAAGGAGTCCTCTATTGGGATGTTGAAATTTTCTATTATTTGTACCCTTTTTTGTTAGGGTCAGGGGAGAGATTACTCCTCTCTTGAGGAGATTGTTGTTTTCATGGGCTCTTTGAGTTCATAGATTTCGGTTTGTCTTTGTATAGTTTGGGACGCGTTCCCCTTTTGATCGCTCTTTAATACATTTTACTTATCAAAAAAAAAAAAAAAATCGGGCCGGACCTGGGTGAACAGTGCTGGATCAAAACCGGGTCTCTGTTATCCTGGTTTTAGTAAACCAGGGTTGGAATAGCATAACCCCGCAGCCAAACACGGCTGTTCTTCTTCACCCACTGACAGACGCCGGCAAGCACGCAGCAGCGATGGCGAGAATCAGCGACACCACCTCTGCAACTTCCGACTAAGAGAAAAGACGAATTGATGAAGCCTCACCTCTGCAAATAATGGCGGTGGATGTCGGCGAGCTTGCTGACGACCGAAGCCGAAACAACACGAGTGGCCAACGGGGCTTCAGATCTGACGACGACGACGACGAATGATGCTCTCAACCTGCCGGCAAACAGAACTTCCGGTGAAGACACCAACAACACACTCGCGATTCCGATCGCGATTCCAATCTCATACAAGGACAACACAATTGTCGTTTCCCACACCCATGAATTCATATAGCTCTGATACCATGTTCTAATTCATATGAGAGAGAGAGAGAGAGAGAGAGAGAGAGAGAGAGGTTTTGTATGTCTCTTGTATATATATTTCTCACTTACACCCTTAAGCCTACAGTGGCTTATATAAAGGAAAACAAACAACCCTAATTATACAAGGTTACCTAATTACACAATGATCCTAACAACTATGGGTAATTACATAATGACCCAACATAAATATATATATACATAAACATTCTAACATGGGGCATCTAGGATTTAGCTCAAGGTGTCAATGAGGGATGTGCTCTAGAATTTTGAAGCATTCATAGGTATTCTAATTGGATTAGGTGGCAGTTGCATGCTATTTTTTTTGCCTCGTTCTTTCTGAGAAGCATTTGTAATCCAAAATGGGGAGTCAACATGTGCTAAACTGTTAATATAATCTACCATTTCAGTTATTAGATTCTAATAAATATTTATAAGCATATGTGCCATAGTTTAGACGAACTTAGATTTTCATAGTAACTTTCTTCTTTTCAAATTTTGCAGATTATTGAAGTTTATATGCAGGACTGATTTATTGCATAGCCTTCCAGCAAACTAGCGATTTCTTTTACTAGTGAAGTTTTTATTAAACTACAAAACATGAGTTTTGTTTTCCGAGGGACGAGACCAGATGTAGAAACTGGATTTTCAGGATTTATTCCTCAAAGGCGTGCAGTGGTATATCCCCAGTTCTTAGCAAAATCTACCCTATGTTTAAGATGGTACTCATTGCTTGACTGTCTATATGTATAGTTTGTCTACTGATCTTACGAAACATATATACTGTTTTGTTGGTGTCCATCAGCGCGTTCATGCAGCTCGACCAGTTAATACCAACTCACTTGCTTTTCTTGTCACAGGTACCCTAATATTGTTTACTTTGGTTTTACCACTAATTTTCTAAATTATTATTATTTTTTGGTAATTTTCAATATACAAAACTTTGTTTTTTATGCAACAGTTCTCTTGCTGTTCATGATTCTAAACTCACAGCAGATGTCACCTAATTTTCTGGTATTTCCTTTACTGATTAAGAAATTGGGGCATATTTTCTGTGCTTAACAGCACTGAAGCTTAATCTGCTGTGCAAGCATTTAAAGCTTTCATGTAACAAATGTTTGCAGCTCTGGCTTGTGTTTGGTATCTTTTTGATGGCAACTAGCCTTAGAATGTATGCAACTTGTCAGCAACTTCAAGCTCAGGCCCAAGCTCATGCTGCGGCCAGTGGACTTCTTGGTCATACTGAATTGTGGTTGAATATGCCGCCACCAACAGCGGTTGCAACAAGAGGGCGACTACAAGGTCTCAGACTTCAGCTTGCACTTCTTGACAGGGAATTTGATGACCTAGGTATGCTGAATAATAGTCTTGTGCCCTAAACTACAGACCATCAGTTTCACTGCTTGAATTTCAATGAATTGCATCAAAACATTTACAGATTATTTGGCAGGGAGGTTGTTGATATAGATTTTCTTTTTACATGCAGATTATGAAACTTTGAGGGCACTGGATTCTGAGAATGTTCCTACAGTTCCATCAATGAGTGAGGAAGAGATAAACGCACTTCCTGTTCATAAGTACAAAGTTGTTGGCCCTCAAAGGTTAGTTATCAGGTTTTATATAATAATTAGGGTTATAATCACAAAACCCCCTGGTACTATAAAAAAATAAGCATAAAGACCCCAACAAAATTATAAAACCCCTAGAACAAAAGTAATAAAGTTACCCCTATTTCCGTTACTCCGTTGTTAGATAATAACAGGAAAAGAGCACATGATTGTAACGTGCTTTTACTTACTCTCATTATGCCGAAAATACCCATCAATCTTCCCTCTCTTACAGACCAAACCTGGGATTTTTCTCTCATACAAAGACGCAGCCCGGGATGAGCAATCCTAAGACTCAGATCGAGACAATTCAACAACCTCTGATCACTCATCAATGGTCATCATCCTCCTGTTCTGCAGCTATGCGACGCGATAGCTGCTTTCTTATTCTAATTATGTGCAGTGTACAAACAACGTATATTCAGTTCATCCATTTCTTTTTCCCTCAATTTCTCCGTGCATCCGTTGTTTGAGATTTGATATCAGATTCTAATTTCTAACTTCAGATTTTCAATTTTTTAGTGTGCCCAAAACCTAAAGGAACATGAGAGAGAGAGAGAGAGAGATTCACGGGTCCAAACCCTAACCAACCTCTTGCATCTGAACACCAATATGGCGATCCCAAAGGCACCATTTTCAACTCCACCCTGACTCTCAATCCATTTTGATCACTTCGAAGCACAATAGTGCTGTTATGCTCCTATAACCATTTCCCTATTTTTGTCCTCCCATTACCATCACAATATACAAGTTTCCAGTGCTTACATTATATTTATATATGTGCTAACGAATATACAAGGCTAAGACCTGAAAATAATCAATTTATCTTTTATAAGAGACCATGCATCTATATATTTATATATATACACACACACAATATTCTTGTGGATTATAGAAGAAAATTCAATTGAAAAAAAAAAATTTGAACCTTGCAAAGAGGGAGGCGTGAGACGGGTGGTAGATGGAGAGAGATAGGGAAGAGTACTTTTTTTTTTTTTACAAATAAACATTAATTAGTAAGGTCAATTTGGTCATTTCACAACTCAATTAACGGTTCAATAAGGGAATGGGGTAACATGATAAATTTTGTTAGTTCTGGGGGTTTTATGATTCTGTTTGGGGGGTTATATGCATATTTTTGATTGTACAGGGGGGTTTTAGATTCTAACCCTAATAATTATCTACTTCAAGAGTGCTTCTGTTTGCTATGGTGGTGTTGATATATGATTAAGTGTATTTCCGTGTTCTGTTCTTTTTGCTATGATTAAGGAAGACTTTTTAAGTAGGACCAGATTCCAATTTGTATGACGGAATCAAATCGATTCCTGTCTCAATTATACACTGTGTACTGTTGGAGCTTATACATTGTTGGGCTCAATTCTTAACAGCTTGCGCTATTTGGGCAATTAGTAGTCTAACATGGTATCATAGCTTTTGCCCTAGGATGTCTTGGGTTCAATCCTCCATAATATGTGCATTTGTTTTGGTCCCAATTTGTTTAGTTTGCCTCACCATGTGCAAGATGGGTATCATGTGAGGGAGGATGTTGGAGCTTATATACTGATATACATTGTTGGATTCATTCTCTAATGTCTTAAGCTTCTGAGGCAATTGTAGTCTCATTTCATATTCATATAATTAATGCAAATTACAGCTTTATATCTGGAAAACTATAATGTCAGTTTTTTTATCTTTTCCCCAATTCAGTGTCATCATTAGTCACTGTTGTCTGGTTAATTCCAGTGACAGTATAAACTTTTCTCATATGCACATTATTCACCTACCTTTGAACTCTTAAATCAATTTTTGTAATATTCATCCAATGATTTTACCCTTCTTGAATTTGTAGATTTTCAATCCTTCTTGCAAGATGATTTTGTTCTGTAAATTAAATAGTTACTGTAAATCAAACCCGTCTTATGTTTCTCTCAATCAAACCCTTATGTTTCTGGAATTATACTGTTACTCTACCTTTTATTTTCATTACTATGTTCTGTTTAATTCCAGTGGCATGGTAGACTTGTTTTCTTATAAGCATCTAAGTCACCATCCTTTTTTTTTGATAAGTGCATCTATGTCACCTACCTTTGAATTTTTAGATCAATTTTAACAAAAAATTATCCATAAATTTCTCGTATTGAAATTGGAAACTGTCAAACTGTTTCTGTAAGTAAATTATATACTGTAAATTAAATTCAATATGACATGGGAGCCTCCTGGTTTGCTTCCAATCAAAGATTTAGTTTTTCTTGCGATTTTTTAGAACGAATTAAATTATTAATCTATCTTCCTTCTGATGAAATTCTAAATCTTCATTGAAATTGTAGTGGTGATGTCAAGAGCATGTGGGGAACCAGAAAAAAGTTAAAAATATCGGTGTCATTTTGTTCACATATCTGCCCCATTCTTCATGTAATGACATCGGTTATAAAAGCATACCGTGTGTAGTGGCCTCTACCCATTTTCTATTAAATTTTGTCATTTCACTGAGTGTATGTGTTTGTGTGGGCATGAGTTAGAGAAGGACAATCAAAAAAAAAAAAAAAAAGCATTCATGCTGCATGCTGCTTATGTGGTGCTAATGTTTTTCCATACCTAGGTCAGTGTTGCCCTCAATTCTCATCCTTTGTAAAATTTACAAAATTTCTTCAAACTGGTAATGTGTTGAATAATTAAATGCAGTGTCGAGGTGTTGAAGGTTTCAGAGTAAGTGACTAAACAAAAAGTGAGGCAGAGTAATTTTCAAACCCTTGGAGAGTTTCCAATAATTTTCATTTGTTATTTAATCTTTTTTTTTTTAACTAGCTATTGGAGTGTATTAGTGTTTTTCTTTGGTTGGGTTTAGAAATGAATATACCATGCGTCTTATGAAGATTATTATTAGTTTTTCCTTTGGTATTTCTAATATTGGTTTCGTTTACAGTGGTGGCCCATCAATGCAACAGGCTTCATCTTCAGCATCAACTGAGGTATTCTTGTTTTTCTTAAATGCTTTTGGAACTAGTCTGTAATCAAATTATGTTTCAGTAAATCTACTTCAAACTATTTTTGCTCTTTACTATACACCTTGTATCATAGATGTGCACATTATTCATCATATTTTGGGTTGAATACATGATTGGTTTTTTTGGTAACTTAAAAGTTTATCCTATTTTTTGGTAATGAAGAATCAACCCACTCGCTAGCCACTATGGACTCTCGGATGGTTTGCAAACTCTGGATGTGCAATCACTTGCAAACCACACATATCATTTAAACCCGGGTGTTTTTGCACCTTGTGAGAACTGAACTCAGGATGTCCGTGTTTACGGTTCACCCCAAGAGACCCCTGGGGAAACTTGTTTATTCTTGTTTTAGATGAGAATGAATTCTTTATTGTCTAATTGATTTTTTGTGTTGTATGCTGTTCTATGACAAGTTGAAAGTCGATCTGGTCAGTCAGTACTAGAGGATCCTTCTCGTTAGGCATGTCAATGGATCCTCTCTCTCCCTTTGATAGGTAACACACACTCAAACATCTACTTTATCCCTTTTGGGAGTTGAACTCTCAAACTCTTCTTTTGGAGGCAGAGAAGATACGACTCAAACTAATGCTTCGTGGTGGATCCTCTTTTTTCTTTTTAATTACCAATTGTACAAAACCAGTTAAATCCTCCCTTTTTGTAGGTATAATTAGTTAGGTATTGCAAGTAATTTGAGTGTTTGTTATTTTGTGGAGATAGTTGGGGTTTAAATTAAAATTAGTACCTGGATTGGAGCAGGGCCGGCGAGCCTTAGGCGAGTTAAGTGGTTGTCTAAGGCCCCAGCCAATAAGAAGGCCCCATAATTTTTTATTTCTTTATATATTATAACTTTTCTAAATACAATTATAGTATTTCCTTTAATTATTAAACTTCAACGTATAGAGAAATTTGATAGTTGACCTAAAAAATTTATATTCTTTATCTTTTTTTGAGGACCCCCAAATTTTTTTTCTTTATATATTATAACTTACCTAAATATTTTATTTTCTTATATCATTAAACCTCAACAAATACAAAATTTAATAGTCTGCAAAATATTTCTATCCTTGTATTATCTTTTTTTTTTTTTTTCCTCTCTCTCATCCTCATTACATCAGCATAAATATACACACATATTAAAATTAAATATTAAATATATATTTAAGTGAAAATTGATGAAACTTTCTATATTTTTCAAAGACTCGTATTAATTTTTATTTTCTCTTTTTTCCTTAATCCTCACATATTTTTTCTCCTCTCTCATTATAAATTTTGTTTTTTCATCTTCTCCACGGTTACAATTTACAATCTCACAATCTCACTCCAGAAGAGGATTTTGAATACACTTATATTTTATTAAAGAATTTATTGGAGCATTAGACCAAATTATTCGAAATCAGTTTTTATTATTCTATAACTTAAATTAGTTTATAGTTTTATAAATTTTATTTATATTGTTAAATATGACTATTAGAAAGCACATAGCCAATTAATTAATGATGGAATTAGAGTTTGGAAATTTTTTAGTGGTAGGTTTAAAAATTACTAAACAAATAATTAGTTGGCATAAATATATGGATAGATTTAATTAAAAGACTACTGTATTTTTTTCGCCTAAGCCTCAAATTGTATTGAGCCGCCCCTGTATCGGAGTTCATTTGTGTAACTGGTTTCAATGACATTAAATTATTAGCCATGTGTTAAGGAAAGTAGTTTCAAGTCAAGAACGCAAATTATTGTGTCTGCCTAGGCTACCAGTTCCGTTTTGAAATAAGGTTTCCATTTGTTGTTTATTCTACATTACGTGGCCACTTTTCCCTTTTTCCAGTCCTTGCTGCCAATTTGGTGAGTTGATCTGCACAGTGCTAGTGTTGTATATGGTAGGCAAATTATTATATTGTATGTTCAGTTTGATTTTTAATTTTTGAGGTGGTGTTCTGTATCTGGTAGCTGTCAAAGGGCCTCTTGTTAGATTGATTTATCTTTAGATTACATGTTACTTTTGTTCAGAGATTGAATGTTGAATGAGCTCTACCTCTGATGGTTTGTGCCTATCTAGAATTAATCATTTTAAACACCAGGGACTCTTTTGAAGAATCACTGTCTTGACTAAGTAAATGATATTAGTCATATTAAATATTTTTATTACACTGTATTTAAAATGAATTATGTAAGTTTTGATAATTTGGCCTGATGGTGTTATGATTTTATTTTATTTTATTATTATTATTTTTTTTATCAAAGTCAATAATATAGTTCATTGCTGGTTATTGTTGTTGCGTGGGGTTCATTGCTTTTTGCAATGGTAAAAGCTGGCTGACAATTGTGGGAATATAGGTTCAAGTTTAAGAGCATTGTTAATGGCATTTTACTTAATTATTACTTCTGTGTCCAATCCACCCCTTCCAACATTAACAAACCAATACTGGGTAATAATATCCCTTTAAATAGTTAATTCTGCATCATAAACAAAATGAAATCTAGAGTATTGGATCATGCAGAGTTAGACCTTCTGTAATCTTACACTTGTTTAATGTTGTTTCATCAATCAAGCTTAAATGTAACAAATGGACTGAATTATTTTTCTCTCCTCATTGGCCATACATTCTTAATGTCTTAACGTATTCTTGCATAGTGCTTGGATGTGTTTTCTTTCATTTGCTTCAAGTTTATGGTTTCATCAATTGAAAATACACTAAGTTGTAATATTTTCTCAAGCAGAAAAAGCAAGACATTGCCAATTCTGTTGGGAGCAAGAAGGCCTTGGAAGATGAGTTGACTTGCAGTGTTTGCTTGGAGCAAGTTAACGTCGGAGAAGTCATTCGTAGCTTGCCATGCTTGCATCAGGTTTTTCTGTCGCTTCCTAACACCTCAAAACACATTTTGGAAAGTCAATTTCTGGACAGTGGACTGCCAGCCACACCACGTACCTTTATCATAAGCATGAATGAACTTGCTCCATCGAGTAATGTGACCCTCAAGTTGTCCAGTTATTACTAGTCTGGTCCCAAGGCAGCACATTCTTTAGATTTGTCTTGCACATAGCTGTGTGTACATACACGTACCACTCATTTCAATTTATAAGAATCTGAGGTGAACTAATACTATTTTCATACATCCACCAATTGAAAAGAATATCTCTTTTAAGGGGAAAAAAATCATTTGTCATCCTAAATAAATTGTCAAATTCAAGTATGGATTGAATGTCATGGATGTCTTTGAAGCTAGTAGCCTTATAAAGCTAAATGCGATCTTATTTTGCAGTTCCATGCAAATTGCATTGACCCGTGGCTGCGGCAGCAGGGAACATGCCCTGTCTGCAAGTTCAGAGCTGGGTCAGGATGGCACGAGAGTGGAGAAGGCAGAATGGATGCTTCTTACATGGTTTAATGACGTATGCACACTCATAGACACTGGTGTTTTAGCTTATTAATACATCCACATGTATGCATGTATATTCATGAATCATAGAGGAAGAAAATGTCGCTAGATTTGGTGTAATTACCTTAACAAAAAGCATTAGAAGAAGTTTCAGATCACTGATTCTATCAATCACTGACAGAAATTGTTTATTATGGTATTGTATGCCTAATGTGAGATGATCACACTATACATATGAAAGCTGCTGCTTCTTTCACTCAACTCATTTTAGGCAGTGGTCAAAAGACTCAAAATTGGACAAACGCATATAATGAATATATCTTTTGATCTCCGGTGGAGACTCTTCTACCATGCTCAAACGTTATAAATCTTTTGATCTCCGGTGGTGACTCTTCTGCCATGCTCACACTTCATATATCAACTTGGTTCTTTCTTGCGCTTGGCTGATTTAGGTAGTGATGTAAAATGGCCTAATTTGCATGTTCACATTAGCATATCTTGAGGGTTTGTACACTATTCTGGCTTGTTCACGCTTCATGGCTACGTTCACTCTATCAAAACTTCAGTTCTTTCCATCCGGGGAGAGTGGAGCGTAATCACTGGAGACTCGAGACTGGTGGAACGTAATCACTGAGGCAGCTGTAAGAGCCTCTTTAGATTTTTGTTCTAAAAAAATGTTACTTCAGCTTTTTCGAGAGTCATGTTAGTAGTTTTGACTCTCCAAAGATGGACACTCCGCTCTCTAATTTTTTTAAAAAACTTTTTCCTAGCGGTTTTAATTCTTAGATATTATGACATTTTATGTAATACAATTTTTATTATGCAATGATTTTTTAAGATTAGAAATGATGAAATTATTTCTCAATGACAATATTTTCCAATCAAACAATATCTTTGCAAATTATTTAATAAGTTAGGATTTATATTATAACTTACAACAATACATTATTCATTATGGATTATAAAAAATAATAATAATTAAAAATAATAGCTAAGATTGAGAAAATAGAATATGACTCAGTTCAATGGAATTTTCTTTTCAAACTTTTACATCTATATGGATTTGGAGGTAAATGGATAATGTGGGTGAAGGAATGTCTATCTTCAGTGGTGGTTTTCTGTTCTTATTAATGGCAGCCCATTTGGTCATTTTCAACCTGAGAAAGGATTGAGACAAGGTTGCCCATTATCTCCTTTACTTTTTACTCTCATTACAGATTACTTCTCTGGTATGGTAGAGACCAGTGTTAGGGAAGGGAAGATTATTCAGTGTGAAAATGCTAGAAGAGTAGGTACGAAAACTACTCATCAGTTTTTTGCAGATGATTTATTGTTTGTGGTCAGAGCCAACATGGGATCAGTGTTAAATCTCAAGAGAATTATGAAGGACTTCTCTAGTTTATCTGGTTTGAAGGTCAATACAGAAAAATCTGAACTTTATATGTCCAGAAGTGCGAGAAGGAAAGCTTCAATTTCCAGAATTTTGGATTGTAAGATAGGTAATCTCCCATTTACTTATCTGGGACTTCCAATATCAGATAGAATGCTTCGGAGGGCAGACTGTGCTAAGCTTTTAGATAAGGTTAATGCATTTACAACTAAGTGGAAAGGGTTTAACATTTCTTTGGCTGGTAGAGTGGAGCTTTGTAGAGCAGTTATTACCCCTCTTATATATTATTGGACTTCTGTTTATTCTCTGCCTGCGGCTGTGATCAATTGTATTGAAAAAAGAATGAGATTTTTTGTTTGGGGACATGAGAATGACAGGATTAAGATGCATGGTTTGAACTGGAAGAAACTGGCTGCTCCAAAAGAGGAAGGAGGCATGGGTATTAGAAGAATTATTGATGTGGACAGGGCTGCTAAATGTGTTCTGGCCTGGGATCTTTTATTGTCTAAAGATAGACTTTGGGTTGCATGGTATCAGAATTTGTATCTAATAAATTGTTCTTATTGGCAGTTGAGTATAAGTGTTTTGACTTCTTTCATTTGGAAGAGTATTATGGCAGTTAGAGATCTTATTACTGTAAATACAAAATTGGAGATGGCAGGAAGATTAAATTTTTTTATAGATCCTTGGTGTGATGGGAAATTGATCACAAAGCTTTTTAATCACAGGATTTTAACTCATCTTAGTAGAAGTAAAAATAGAGCTGTTGGTGATTATATTGCAGCAGGTACTTGGGATGGTAGTAAATTTGATTCTCTTACTAATGGTATCTTTGAATTTCTCTTGCAGTACCCAATTTTGGGAGGGGGGGATAAATTTGAGTGGTACCCAAAGGAATTTACATTTAAGGGTGCATGGAATGTCTGCAGAATTAGAAGAACTGAGGTTTTTTGGGCTGGTTTGTGTTGGAATGGAGGAAGACAAAGATGGTTTGCCATTGCTGTAATGGTATTACAGAATGGTGTTCTCATTAATGATTATCTGCAAAAAAGAGGGGTTAGCTTAGCTTCTAGATACTGGCTGTGCTACAAAGAAAGGGAAGAGGTAGACCATTTATTTTCTGGCTGTGAGTTTACATGGCAGGTTTGGATGGAACTTGCTATTTTGTGCAGATGGCAGTTACAGAGATATTTCTCAATCAAAGGGATGGCCGAAGACTCTGTTCAGAAGGTTAAAGTGAACAATACCAGAAATAAAATTTGCAAATTGGTGTTCACAGCTATGATTTACTTCATTTGGAAGGAGAGAAATGATATGGTACATAATGACAAATGCTCTAATCCTAAGGAGATTGCCAAATGCATCATGTGGGAGACACTTGATATTGTAGGACTTTGTTTACATGATGTTATCTTATGCTATGTTTGGTTGGAGGGAAGGATTGAGGGGGAATGGATGAGAGGAGGGATGGATGAATATTTTTGTGTTTGGTTGAAGGGAAGGGAAGAAAGGGAGGAAACAAGGAGGGATGAAGCATCCCTCATTCCTCTATGTTTTTCTATCCGCCCACTTTTGGAGGGAAGAGAGGAGAGAAAGAAGGCATAACTACCTATGTATTGGTAATTTACAATTTTAACCTTTTCAAAATCTTCGAAATAAATATCTACCTATTATAATTTTATATAAAAGGGTATATTGGTAAAAATAATATAAGAACTCTCCTTCCCTTCCTTCCAACCAAACAAGAAAAAAGTATCACTCCATTCATCTTTTCTACTATCCATTCCATTCAACCAAACATAAAATGGGGAAAACACCCTCCCTTCCTTAGGGATATCTCATCCATCCCTCCTCCTATCTCTTCCATCCATTTTTCTATCCATCCATTTTTCCATCCCTCCAACCAAACGAAGCATTAATGTTTGCATAGCTTTAAGGCTATTTTTCATATGCTTATGCATTTTCTTCCCTTAGGGGATGTCTATAAATAGGGGTATGCCCCTATGTATTTTTGTTTTTTTTTGTTCATATCTTTATAAAAATTTGGGTAAAGTGCAAAAAACCCCCTTCAACTATTGGCCATGTGCAATTAACCCCCCTGAACTACAATTTGCCCCCTTGAACTATTAAATTTGGTGTAATTGACCCCCAATGTGACATCTCCGGCCAATTGGTGTAAACGAAAATAGTAAAAGACAATTTTACCCCTGTATAAAGCCACGTCGTTTCAGAAAATTTTAGCAACCACCAGCTAAAAAAAATAAATTCTAAAAAAAAAGAGAAAAAAATCAGGCCATCGCCGTGAGTCAACCATGGCTGAACCAGCCCATCACCGTTCAGCCCACCATTCGAGCTCGTCCCCACTACCGTCTCTTCATCCGCAAGCTCACAGCCGAAGTCGCAACCAGCTCATCGCCGTTCAACCGTAACTAGCCCATCGTCGCGAGTCAACCATGGCCGAACCAGCCCATCGCCGTTCAGCCCACCTTGCTCGTCGATCCTCTCCACCATCCGAGCTTTATCCCTGCAGCCGTCGCTTCATCTGAGTGTCGCCGAGTCATCCACGGCCTAGCCATCGCTGAACCAGCCCGTCAATCTCACTGTTGCATTTCGCCGCTGCCGCCACTTCACTGCCGGTCCATTCCTCGCCAGAGTCACCATCGCCGTCCGGCCCCCCACCGGACGAATCACTATTCCTCCCGATCAACCAAAGCACACAAACAGAGACACAAAATTATACAATCATCAGTTTGTGCATATATATGTATATAGAATTACAGAAACGATATAGAGAGAGAAAGAGGAGAGGAGAGAGAGAGTGCGAATAAATTGAGGAAAATAAACCCTTATCCTCTTAAGCGAATTCTGAGTTGTGATATTTGTGGTCATCGGAGTCCAAGCTTGTGCACCTCACGGCCAAGAGTCAGCCATCATCACTACCTGCCTTCATTGGCTCCGCGCCGACCAAGAGCTCATCACACAGCCGCCAGATCTATTCTCACAGCTCTTTTCTTGTCTCCTCCTCCACCGCGAGCTCGGTCCACCATAGCCGGATCTGTTCTCACCGGCTTTTCACTGCCATCAACATCCTTAAGCTTGCCGCGCTGCAAATCCAAGTCCAAGACCCAGATCTATCTCGCCGGTCATTTCGATCCTCACAGCCGGATCTGTCTCACAGGCCATTTTCATCCTCGAAGGTGTAGTTGTGGGAACGGACGGGACGGTGGTGATGGTATCGTCTGTTTTATTGACGATGAACAGTATGTATTTAGTATAAGGGCGTGTTTGGGTGTTTTAAGTGGTTTTGGGTGTAAAGGTAAAGGGTTGTATGGTCATTTCAAGAAATTTGGTTTGTCACGTGACACATCACGTGCGTCTTCACGGCCAAAGTCAACCGGCTTCACCGAAGGGGGTTAATTACACTAAATTGATTAGTTCGAAGGGGTTATATGTCAAATTAGTAGATCGGGGGGTTAATTGCACATGGCCAATAGTTGAAGGGGTTTTTTTGCACTTTACCCTAAAAATTTCCTCCATTTAGGAAAAAAAAAAAAAAAGTAGTTTGAATGGTAAAGAATAAAGATGGGTTAGATGTGAGGTGAATGGTGGTAGGAGTTGGGTTATTTATAGAAGAAAAATGAATTTTTAATTTTTTTTGGGTTTAGGGTTTTTTAATTTTTTTTTGGCCCAAATCAAATTTATTTTTGGACAAACGGTGCCTAACAATATATTTTTTATTTAATGAATTTTATTTTATTTTTACACAAAATAACCCATTTTTGGGTTTTTTTTTTTTTTTTTTTTCTAGCCCGCGCAATTCAGCGGGCCGTTGTGGGGACATTGCGAAGCCCATTTGTGAACGGCCATAACAAATTCCGCTACAAGCCTACAAGTGATAGCAAGCGATGGTTGAGTACTCCTAGCCCTCTGGTTGTGTCCAATAGGGGCGTGTTAGTGTTGAGTTCACGTGTGACATATCCTTTGCCCTAGTCCCTAACATAAAGCCCTCAAACAATGAAACACCAGTTGCACCTTATAAATTAAGTGTTCAAATCCAGATGCCCCCATAAACATTCATCTACCAAAGGAAAAACAATTAAAGGTTTAGAATGGACGTTTTCATCCATATAACGCATACCGAGACTGTCCAGAATCGAGTTCACAAGGAATATCAAATGAGGAGAATGCCAACACTACTCACCCGCTTCTGTATTAAGGCTCAACGAGCCCGACAATCAATTAGAGAAGTAATTGGTTGATAAAGAAAATACGAGATACAAGTACATTTATTTCATAATTGTAATTCTGTTTTTTGTTTTTTCCAAACTCTTCTAAACATCAGTAGAACAAGTGAGTTTCTTTAAAATGATATTTCTGTTCAAAGGGAAGTGAGATGACTCTATTTTGCTTTCCCTTTTCCCTTTCCTTGTCCCCCTTTCTTGGATTGCAACTTAGCTTGCATTCGAGCAGCTGCAGCAGCTTTAGCTTCTTCTCTCTTCTTCTTTTCTTCCTCTTTGATTGCAGCTGCAATCTCCCTCTGCTTCTTCAGCTCTCTGATATACAAAGTGTTCAACATCCAACGTAAACAATCATAGGACTAGTTGAAAATTGGTAGACCTCAGAATAATAAAAGGCTCAGCTAAACAATAAGAAAACAATAATTAAAAGAAAACGGCTGCTGGAAAAAAAAAACACAAGTAAAAGAAAATGACAAAAGGAATGTGACTCACTCTAGCCTAGCCCTCTCGTCTGAAACACTTCCCAGACTATAACCCTTCCGAGGCTTGCACGCTGCCAACTCCACCTCGAAAATAAGGGTTGCGCTGCATTTCATGAATTAAAAAAATAGCATATAGTTTAAGTACATAAAGATAGATATCATCCATGTGTAACAATTTATAACAGCTATCCCTAACCATGCAAAAATAATGCAAGTTAGTCCACAACATTTCTATTAGATTAATATAGGTGGTATCTTGAACTATAAGAAAGGGCAAAGGGTATAATACGCATCCCAACCAACCACACTTACCTCCACATTCTTTCCCCCTTCTTGCCAAAAGCTATTTAATGGTTGGGATACACGTAAATTTGATTTTATATCTCCAAAGTTAGTCGGGATAGTCACTAGCCAAGCTTATTCAATTCAATTTTACCCAATGGCCAATGCTTCTATTCTCTGGTGAGACTGCTTTTATGTGGCCTACTGTGGTCCACATCACAATCTTTTCATTACTCTTTCAACATAGCCATCATCTCTTAGATCATGTTTCAAACAATAAGTTTAATAGATAGAACAAGAAATTTACTCGGGGGGAATATCTGGTGGAGAACCAGCACTGCCATAGGCATATTCTGGCTTGCAAGTGATTTTTGCAATCTCGCCAACCTGAAGGAACCAACAAAGAGAATATGTTGGAAAGTTCAACGAAATTTGAACTACTATTGCAAGTCAATACAGTGTATTAACCTTCATTGTTCTCAATGCAATGTCCCAAGCCTTGATAACAGTGCCTTTCCCAAGTTCAAAGGAGAATACTGTATTATCTTCATGTGTAGTATCAAAAACCTCACCAGTTTCAGCAAGAATGCCTTCATAGTGAACTGCCCAACAAACAAGTATATAATTAATGATTGTCGAACAATGAAGAAGGCCTAAAGGTTGGACTACCCCCATTGTCTGAGGTAGGGCAGCATGGGAAATCAATAATTAAGGTTATCCTTTTTTATAGCAAACTATTTTTCATTTTCAAGGACAGTACTGTCTTTGCACTAAAAGCTTAAAACTTAGGTTGTTCAAATCAGTAGCCATGTACTTTGACAGGCATAAAAGTAAGATAAACTTTCACGGTCACCACCAATTCAATGGACTTATCAAAAGAAAAAAGAAAAAAAATCAATGGACTTATTGGGAGGGTTAAAACAAAAGGCAGAAGAGTTCAAAAAATGAAAAGCCTTACGTGAGCCATGGACAAGGCATTGTAATTTGAACACGACATCCATGCATCACAAACTTGGCCAGGGAGACTTTATGCAAGCACTTAGCTTGTCGTACAGAAAATGCTATTGGCCATGTGATGATCTAAGGACTTTGTTTGGTTATTAGTGGTAATTAAGTAAAGGGCTCCAAGATAATTATGCATGCTAAAGCCATCAAGGGCAGTTCAAAATCCTCCCCACCCACCCCAAGGATAAATTTATATTTTTTAAGACAGTTCAACTATAGCCTGCCATTTTTTATCACTCAACGGCATCTTCCTGGTAGACTGTTTGCAGTATATGAATCTTGGAATACCTAATACAGGTCCGCACACATCCCAAATTGGCCTTATAATGGTCCTTAAATCTGATCTAAATCTCTAGATCCACTATAGAGAGCCAACGCTCTACCATCCAAGTTGCCATCTAAGGTTAACAGGAAGTGGATGGGTTGGGCTGAATCAAATTTAAACAAGAAATGCTTTGCCTGAATCAACTAACAAACACTAAAAAAATTTCTTTGGGCGAACTTTATATTTTATCACAAAATCATTAGCAGTTACCTTCTACCAACAAAGGACCTTCAAAACTTGTATTCCCTTTACATGTGTTTATTTGTAAAGCAATATGTGACATGCTAGCGATAGCAACAGATAGAGAACAAGTGATTGTATTCTAATCACACTAATGTGAACACATTTATAAGATGACAATGGATGCAGGGATAACCAAAAATAAAATTTTTGCAAATAAGACAAAACGTGGAAAACAATGACAAAAGTGAACTTCCAGATAATAACTCAGTTGACATTTATTTCTTGAAACGCAACAAATTAGGGTAAATCATGTGCACAAAACAATTGCGCATACAAAATTCACACTTTGATCAAGTAAAATAACTTTTAACTACAACTATGCATGAATGCTAACAATATGAGCATACCATCAAGAAGAGAGAGATCCTCTGATGGGGCAACCGCATCAGGTTTGGATCGCCTTATAATGGTCTTGATGACACCTCCATCCCCAGATAAATCAATTGCATCACCCATGTTTCTAAAATTTTCAGCTCCCTGTTTGGTAAATAGAACAATAAATAAGACTATTGCAACCCATACAATTTGACAGAACATTACTTAAACTAGACCACAGAAAATTTTCAACAACAAATCACATTTTTTTCAAAACATGTCCATAAGATATAAAATGCATGAACGTTAACTGATTTATAAAGCCATTATTAATTTATTATAACTGTAACAAAAATAAAAAAGACAATTCTACACGTGACAACGGACATGGGTGAAAAGAGGTCATAGCAAAAACTTAACAATGAGTTGAACAAACCATCACAAATAAATTAATTAAATAACAAAGGGAACAAAAAATAAAAATAAAATAAAAACATCTTTTGCTTTCAACAGCACTCCTCTAACCTCACCATTAATCCCAAAAAGGAAATAAATAAATGAACAAAATTTAAAAAACTAAAACTTAATTCAGTGGGAAAGATTGGAGATTCTTTTACTCATAAAATTAAGTTTGGAAGAGAAAGAGGAAGAGTTAAGTTGAATAGTGCTTCTAGTATATTTTGTGATCGACGTATCCTTCTAAGAAATGAGAAGTAAATACCATACAACAACTACTGGACCACTTATGCTTTATTAATCAAAGAATAAATTACACTTGCCTCCTCTGAGATTTGTAATTTCTATTCTCATATTAAACTTTGGCCAAAATCACACTGGCATCCTGTCAAAGTTGCAAAAACCTAACGACAGTAGATGTTTCTTGCAAAATGACAGAAACCTCAACTTATAAGCTCTGAAAGGCAGACATAAGAACCCTAATTTTATAAAGTCAAGAATATCCTTGACATAGTATATCTATAGGATTTGGTGGGACTATTTACTGTTTGAATGCTGGATTTGTTTTGGTTATATATATATTTTCTTGATAAGTTTTGTTTTGGTTATATTGATAGTAAGAGTTGGTTTGTGAAGGCGAGTTTTTTCCCAAACTTTTGTGTTTTTTTCTTTGGCTAAAAAAAAATGTATACCCACCTCCTAGCTTCACCACCATCCCTTCTCCACCCATCGACCGCCGCCGCCTCCACCACATATCTCCCTCATATCCATAGCCACCATCCTTGGTTCTCTCCCCTCTTTATCCTTTGTGATGACCCTGTGGGCGGGTGTGCCGTGGGCGGGTGCGAGAGACACTGTCAGGCTACCACACTGGCGAGTTATGGGTGCACAGTCCCACATCGCCTGGGTAGAGGAAAGGTGAAGTGCTTATATGTAAGTGTGTCACCTCCAATTGGTATGAGGCCTTTTGGGGTGAAGCCCAAGAGCAAAACCGTGCGGGCTCAGGCCCAAAGCGGACAATATCATACCATGTGGTGGAGCGGGTCGTTACAGTTGGTATCAGAGCCTGACCCAGCCGGAAGTGTGCCGACGGGGACGTCGGGCCTCCAAGGGGGGTGGATTGTGATGACCCTGTGGGCGGGTGTGCCGTGGGCGGGTGCGAGAGACACTGTCAGGCTACCACACTGGCGAGTTATGGGTGCACAGTCCCACATCGCCTGGGTAGAGGAAAGGTGAAGTGCTTATATGTAAGTGTGTCACCTCCAATTGGTATGAGGCCTTTTGGGGTGAAGCCCAAGAGCAAAACCGTGCGGGCTCAGGCCCAAAGCGGACAATATCATACCATGTGGTGGAGCGGGTCGTTACAGTGAAGAATGTAATACCCCGATAATTTTAAAAGATTTATTAATTAGGATTAATTATTTTATTTTATTTTTCAATGATTTATTTTATTTTATTGAGTGCTAGATTAATTATCTTATTTTAATTAAGTTATATTTCGTGATTATGTATGATGATTGATTGTTTGTGTGGTTGATTATTGATTGAATTATTGGTGTGTTGATTTTATTGGTATTATATGACTTAGTTGTAAATTCTTGTTTGTTTATGTGCTTCATGTAATTAGTATTTTAATTTCTGTATTTAATTAATTATCTTATTTATTTAAATTAATTGGATTGGGCTTAAGGAAAGTTGGACCAAAAGATGTGGTCTTGGGCTTGTATGAAACCTTATTGGGTTAATTAATGAAGGTCCGTGGTTATTTAATTATTTAAATGATCACTTTTGTATCAATTATATATATATATATATATATATATATATAATTAATTAATTAATAATTGTTATGGAAAGATATATATATAGATATATATTTATTGATATTTATAAGTATATATGATTTAATTAACTAATGAGTTAATTATGGAAGGAATATATATTTATATATATATATGTTTATAGATATAAATTATTTAAAGATTATTATTTTAATTCATAATACTAGTTGGAATAGGATTTGGAATTTAAGATGTATAAAAATACACATAAGGCTTTAGGGTTAAAGGTTTTACACGTTAGAAAAATAAAACAGACAGAGAGAGAGGAAGAAGAAGGGCTGACAAGGAGGAGGTCGGATCTGAAAATGAGGACGTCGGAATTGGAAGAGATAATTAAAGCTTAAAGCGTCGGTTTCGTTTCGAAACCTTCAGGCGAGTTTTCTCTAACTTTCCTCTTAGAACTCATAAGGATTTCACCTTGAGTATCAAGGCTTTAATTAAATTTATTTGTTTAAAAATTATGGTTAGATCGGAATAATTAAAAAGTATAAACTATTATATTTGATTTTTAGATTATTGGATTTTAATTGATATATATAGGTGTTATGTATATTTTAAAATCAATCTATAGGTGGATTTGTGACCCAAGAGAGTTAATTATGGTTTCTTTATTTTCTAGAATTGTTCTGTAATTTTCTGGAATTTTTCTGATATTTTTAGGAATTTATTAGGATTTATTTTCCTATTATTTGTTAGGAAAATAATTATATATATATATATATATATATATATATATATATATATATATATATATACTAGGTAACTGGCGCATGTGGAGCGGCGGCACAATAAAGAATTGATCCAGTGCGGCGCGGTGTAGGATAATAGGGTGTATACGCCAATTAGGGCCATTTGATTAATTAAACTTATGTGAATTGATATGGTGCATCGCGGTGCATAAAACTTTGGTGCGCATGTGTATCTGGACCATAGAAGTGGTCTGGTCAACTATGGGATTATTTGGTGTATTGCAGACCATGAGAAGATGGTGCACTCGCTGATCTGGACCTTAGATCTATTATAGTTAATAGAAAATAATCTAGTGTGAGCGTGTTCATTTGCGCACTCATTTATGACCATTGGATGCGGCATAAAGGAAGTGATGGATTCAGTGTGGTGAGCTCACGGTAGCTGAAAGAGCTTAGCCAATACCAGCACACAAGGAGGCTTGAATCCAGCGCGTGCAAGTGCATAGTAAGCACGTGGGCGCGCGTGGGTAACTATGTTGGCCTAATTCGACACTAGAAATTAAAACGGTCATAACTTAGTCATTTTAAATCGAAATTGGGTCATTCTTGAGCTCAAATTCAAGGATTTTTCGTCTTCTTTCCAATGGTACCAATTTCATTATCAGATTCCCATCCTACTAGGAGATATTTATGTTTTAGTGAGAAAGTGTCGGAAAACTATTTAAACCAATATGGAGTATTTAAAGGAAACTATTTCTGACATATTTTGTTGCACTAATTTGTGTAAATATAATAAATTAATAATTTGTTATGGAAGGAAGTGTATATATATATATATATATATATATATATATATATATATATATATATATATATAAAATTATTTATATATGTGTATATATAGTTTAATTTGTCTATGAGTTGTATGGAAGGATGAATATATATATATATATATATATATATATATATATATGTATGTATATTGATTTTAAATAATCAAGGATTATTAAAGAAGGTGTTAAACACATATATACATTAAATAACATATGTGTAGGTATATATATATATAAATCATTTAAGATGATTAATATTATCATTCTTATTTGGCATATCTTAATAGGCTGGTTGTTAAATTAATGATATGCGTATAATATGCATGTGATGGCTATGTATGATTTAGCGTATTGTTAATTTTAAAGTTAATTCATGGTTAAAGTGTGGGCATGGATGAATTGTCAAATGATTAAATATATTACCTAAATATTTGTATGAATAGAATACATATATGGAAAGTATGGATGAATTGCTAATTAAATGTATGAATAAATATACCTGTGGAGGCATGGTTGAATTGCCAATGTATAAATATACATACATGGAGGCATGGTTGAATTGCCAATGTATAAATAAATATACTTATGGAGGCATGGTTGAATTGCCAATATATAAATAAAAATATTTACAATGGCATGGTTGATTTGCCAAAGCATAATTACGTTGTTATGTGTTAGATGATTAAAATATCATCTATGGTTGTTGTACGTATGGATTGGATTAGGGTTAGATATTCTTAAATGAGAATAGTTTAGTACTTACTGGTTAGTGTATTATTTTACATTAATAAAATAATATTGGGGAAGACGTGGATGATTTGTCAAAACTTGAATTTTGGATATGTGATTTAAACAATTAAAATCATTAGACATGTATATCGTGCTTTATTAAAGTTAAAACTTTATTAGGTTTGGTTTTGATCAGAGATGATCTGCTTATTGGTTTTCAGAGGCCTGGTAGAGTGAACTTGCTCGTAGGGTTTAACCCACGATTTATTTTTCAGGTTATTAGAGGTTCCAGTCTCGAGGTTGAGGATCCGCAGCTGGGAGACTGTCATTCGTCTATTCATCTTGTGTACTTTTAAATAGTATTGGATTATTGGATAATGTTTTAAGGGGTCCTTGAGTTATGGGATTTCCGAATTGTAATTGTTGGAGAATCATTAAGTAATATTAATTTATTGGTTTTCTTCAGCGGTTTATTTATTCTTTATTATTCTTCTTTGTATTCTGTGCTTGTTAAATACTTAAATTGTTTTGATATCCCTTGATTTTGTGCGCGGACTTGATCAATCCGTGTTCCAAAATTAGGGGGTATCACAGTTGTTATATTTGATTTTTAG